CAACTTTGATATGGAATAGTTGTTTGATTGTAATACATTACAGGTGAATTTGTTAAATGATGACGATGTGTTTCTAAATTGGAAATTGTGTATTGTGACATACTTAACAACTAATCTTTTGTTTAAAAACAAGATTATATTCGTTTTAATATGATAAAAAGGTTGTATGCGTATTTAATAATTACTAATATTATGTTTTTATATTTTTGTTGTTTCATACCAATAATTAATGATTTTATGATATTTTATTTGAATACAAAAACACATTTTTATGCCAAAAGACACAACAACACTTAACTTCTATTTATAACTAACCATTAATCGAATAACCACAAAAATGAGGACATGATAAATACACGGATAACTAATCATTATTTGATAAATTTAATTATTTTGACACAAAAATATGTGTACTCTAAACAAAAATCACTTTTTATAAACAAAAGTCACATAAAAACGATTTTAAACAAAAAGGATTAAACAAAAAAGCGCATTCTATAGAGTGATAAAAGAACGCTCTGGTTTTTTAACCGCTTTTTATCGGTTTAATAGTTATAAAAAATGAAATTGTTATACAAACTAGGATACACACCTCGGACAGAAAAAGTCTGCACTGTACATATTCAACTTTCATTGAAAACAATACAATACATTTTATTATATTAATATTATTTAAATATATAAAATCAAGTGGAAGCTGTTAAAAAGACGGAAGGTTTTAACTACCTGTAATTATCTATGTACTTGTGGAAATTGTTTATATAATTTGTATGTGTATTTATAATCATATAAAAATAATTTTTTGTTAATAAACAATCAAAAATAAGCTTGTTTTGTGTGTTACGAATACACATAAAAACAGAATAATAATTAATATATTATTTTAACTGTGTGGTTAATTTACTTTATTTTATTATAATTATTGTAAAGTGTCAATAGCTTCTTTATAAAATACATGAAAACTAAACACCAATAAGAATAATCGCTTTTCATTACAAATTTATTTGAAAAATGATTAAAATAAGACAAATGTTTCAAGAAATTCATAATTGTATCAGACCATTTTAACCATACGATAATGTTACCGATTTATATAAAACACTTTTTATTTTATTGTTTTTGTTTTTTTGAACTTGATATGATATACAAAAAACTAACACTGTGTTTTTTTTGAAATGTAAACAATAAACACACATATACCACAAACAATAATTTTTAATTTATTATTTTTTCTTTAATTTTTGGAAATGTTTATATTTAATCATTACAAGATTTATATTATCATCAACAAAATATTTTTTTTCAAAAAATGTTCATAAAAACAAAATTATTGTAAGGTTAAAGTACTATTTTATTAAAATCGAAATAATTACATATTAATTTTTCAAATATAAATTGTTACATTTTCAAAACAATTTAATAACATTTTTACAGTAAAAATATCTTTTTATATTACACCATTAACAAATATAATTATTTAAAACATAAAACCGAGTAGTGCTGAATTACTTTATGAACTTTGCTGATGATCTGGATGAGATCAACGAGTCTTGTGGAATATCCCCACTCGTTATCGTACCATGCAATGAGTTTGCTGAAGTGTGGGTTCAAGATAATGGCAGCAGCATCGAAAACAGAGCTTCTGTCGTCGTGAATGATGTCTGATGAGACGACCAAGTCTTGTGTAATTCCCATAATTCCTTTAAGTTCACCTTCAGCGTATTTGGTGATAGCAGCGTTGATATTTTCGATTGTAACTTCATTCTCAGTTCTGACAGTCAAATCGACACATGAGACGTCTGGAGTTCCAACTCTGAATGACATACCAGTGAGCTTTCCGTTTAATGATGGGATGACTTTTCCTACAGCCTTGGCAGCACCAGTAGTAGCTGGAATGATGTTACAAGCCGCGCATCTGCCAGCTCTCCAGTCCTTTCCGGATGGACCATCGACTGTCTTTTGAGTAGCAGTAGTAAAGTGGATTGTGGTCATCAATGCTTCAATAATACCAAACTCGTTGTTGATGATCTTGGCAAGTGGAGCAAGGCAGTTGGTAGTGCACGAGGCATTGGACAAAACGTTCATCTCTGGTTTGTAGGCTTCAGTGTTGACACCAACAACAAACATTGGGGCACCAGCAGATGGTGCGGAGATGATGAGATTCTTGGCTCCTCCCTTAAGGTGAGCTTCGCATTTAGGGATTGTGGTGAAGACACCAGTGGATTCAACAACATAGTCTACACCGAGTTTCCCCCATCCAATTTGAGCCAGGTCTTTTTCAGCTACAACAATAATTTTGTGCCCATCAATGATTAAGTTGCCTCCTTCAACAGCAATGGTTCCTGGGAACTTTCCATGGACAGTATCATACTTGAGCATGTATTCCATGTACTTTGGGTTCATGAATGGGTCGTTCAAAGCAACCAATTCGAACTCTGGGCGGGTAAGAATCACTCTTGCAACCAACCTTCCAATTCTTCCAAAACCATTAAATTCAACTTTGATTGACATTTAACTGATGTTTAAAGAGATACATAACATCATTTAAATTGATTACACACGTGGTAATGTGTATATATTGTGTAACTTATTTTTGGTGTTTATAATAATATTTAATTTAACACACAAATTTATTGAAAAAACACAAAACGGCAAACACATCGTGATAAATCTTAAAGTTATTGTTTATTAAGAATTAAAATTTTTATTCGAATACTAATATATTATGAATAATTGTTTTTTGGAATAATTTTTGTTTTAAAAAAATACAAAACTTCAATCAAAGTAAATCGATAATATATCATAAAGAGTTGTAATAAGTATAAAAAATTTGTGTACAAACTATCAATTTAATATTTTGATTTAATATTGCCTTTTATATTATTTATAAATGTAATAAAACATTTGCAAAAACTTTTTAAAAATAAACTACACAATAAAAAATATCACAATTGATTTTAATTTAACAAACTAAATAATTAACTTGATGTCATCTTCACAAATTATTATATATAACACTTTTGAATTATTATATTTTTCGTTGTAAAATAAGATAAAACGAAAAAGTTGATTAATCAATCGACTTTGAATGAATTAAATCATCTTTTCTATACAACAAATTAAATTTATAGTTAATATTTAATTATATTAAATTAATTTGAGTATTCAATAATAAATATTGAATGTATTTGGTTAATTATAATATACACAATAATAAATTGAAATAATGTTTATAAAAAACAAAAAAATAATTATTAAACATAACAGAAATTTTATTTGTTGTCAACCAAAGTTATTATATGTTAACATGATGAATTAATTCAATTATGTTAAATAATTGTTTATAACTGAACAGACGATGATTTTGGATATTTTTACTTTGAACACAACAAATCTTTAAAATGTGCCGATTTTTTAAAGTGATTGTTCAGTAATAAGTTACTTACAAAAAAACGTTTTACATCTTCAAAAACTTTTATCACAGAGTTTTTTTAAAATACCGTGCTTATCAATCAAAATAGTTGAACCGTATTGTTATTAGTACGACCATTCAAGTCACATGCAAACTGTTTTTAAATGCACCAATAGCAAAAATATGACACGACCAACACAAATTAAAAATAAATATAATACTTTTGTAAAAGCATATAAAACCCATCGCATTTAACATAAACTAAACTGTTTTTCAAAAGTCGGTACTGTCATATTTTTAGAACTTCCTAAAGTCCCGTTTTTTATTTTTGTTTTTTCCTAAAAAAACAAAAAACAAAAAATCGAAAGTACTGACTTTATTTTGAAAAAAATACCAATCCCGTTCAATTATTTTCGTACAAATTCGGGAAAATATCGGAATATTAGCCATCTTTTTCCAAAAACCCCGATCCCGTTATTTGATTTGACCATAACTCGATACTTCGCAACATATACACAGCATTGTTGACCTAAAAGCACAACAATTAACGTTTAAGTGAATTGGGATGGTGTTGTTTGTGTCGAGTTTTAACTGATAATTACTTTCGTTAAAAAATATTTTCAATTAAAAACAAACTGTGGTTATCTTCTCTGAATAAAAAATAATGAAAAAAAAGAGTTCCAAAAATTACAGCAAATGTTTGATAATTTTGACAGGCATAAGTCAAAATTGTCAAAGGGCAACACTAGAAAAATAATACAAAATAACAATAATATTTTGTTATTGGATATTTTAAAAATGATGTTCTCACTGAAATGCTCAAAAAGAATGTCGACTTTATAAAACCCAACAAAGATAAGTTATCAAATCATTTTGTTATTTTTATTGTTTTTGTGACAACACTACTAAGCATACTAATCTTCGAACTAAGCTTTTGTTTTGTGAATATTTCATTAATTAATGAAATGTTTGATAATGAAAAAGATTGAAATTAAGTTTATTTGCTTTTGTACTAAAATGCACTTTTGGGATAATTCGTGTGTTTTTCTGAAACAAAAATCCCGTTACTTCAAATTTTATATGGATTTTTTTAATGCTTAAAAATTCTTCAAGTAAAAAAATATTTTTTGAAGACCGTTTTTCTCTTTTTTACTTGGAAAAAATAAGCGAATTTATTACAAAAAAACGATTCCCAAAAATAATAAACAAAAGAAATGCAAAAAATCGGGACACCTCAGTACCGACTTTTGAAAAACAGTTTATATGGAACATTTTACAAATAATACCTTTTATCACCATTGTCACTTATTGACACTGCAATTGGTTTGATTGCATTTTTTTGCATTGATGACCAATTCTATATAAAACACATCGTTAAAACTTTGAGCTTATTAAAGAAGTGGGATTAGATAAAAATGAAAAATTATTTTTACATTTTTAGAAAATACAATTGAATGCGTAATACTCATTAAAATACGAGTTTTTATTTTAGATATTATTAATAATTATTATTACATCATCGACATAAAAATACAAAAATTAATCATTAAATTTTGTTCATCGTCTTTTGATATAAAATACGTATTAAATTATTAAAGAACCATAACAGTATATTGTAAATTTTTATTTTTTATAATAAACACAATAATTGTATAATTTGTTCGACATAAAAAACTGAACGCGGTAATTTTAAATTAGAAAAGATTTATTATAAATGATATAAAGTCTGTTTTCTATTTAGTGATATTCTAAAAATATAACAAAGAAAAGAACTAGACCAAAAACATTAAACTATAATTTACTATACTCAATATCGCTAATTAAAAACTATTAACTATTAATAAAATTGTCATTAATTAAAACTAATGATAAACAAATTTCAAGCATTGACTTTTTTCCAAATCACTTGTTGTCGTTTTGACCCAAATGATGATTTGACATGTCTACTCTATCTAACATGACATTATATTCATTTTGAATTACCTGGTTGATTCGTTTATTTCGTCGTATTCACATTTCAAGACCAACCTATCTATCGTTTTTGCTTTATAAATTTTTCAGTTATTTAGCAATTTTATTTTTTGTTATTTTTAACACATATTTATAAAAAAAGAACAAAAAAATAAAATACAAACCATTTTTTAGAAAAACCACTTTATTTTTATTATAAATTATAATACTGTTATTATAATTCATAGTAAAAACCCAATATCGTTAAATAGAAAACAGACTTTATTTAAAGCTTTTGTTATTTAGATTATTTTTTAAAACTTTTTTATATATGTTTATAAATAATTGGGATATAGTTAAATACTAATAAAAAGTGATTTCTTGTCATTAAATAATTATTTAATTTATTGTTTAAATTAAAAAAAATAAATCAAAATAAATGTATCTTACAATCTGGTTATTTAGCTTTTTTGAAATACTTTTCAAAATACTATGTTATTAATAGTTCAAAAAATAAATTATTTTATCATAAACAAAATTATTACTTTCGACAAAATAACTTTTTATTTTTGAACATTGTATTTACAAAAGGTGTATTTATAACAACAATGAAGAATATAAATGATATGACCTTAATTTCATCGTTTTGTTATTATTATTGTGTTCATTTTTGAATAATTAACTTTTCAAGGCACAAATTATCATATCAAACAACACAAATTAAGTTTGTGGCAAATCAAAAATACCTTTTATTAATCCGATATATAAACTTTATGAAAACGTTCATTTACTATTTAAACTCGAATAATAAAACATTCAGCATCAAATGATTTCCATCTTTCTTGTTGTGTTAGTTGCTCAAGCCGAATATCTCATGACCAATTACAACGAATATGTGAATGTCTATCAACTCGATAAATGTTATTATACCGGAAGCAACAAGTATACAAAATACGTCAAAGATGGCAAGAAGGCAAGAATTTACACATCAAATACATGTGATAATTGGGTTGATGAAGGCTCTTTTGAGCTTGAAAACAATCAATTGTTTTCGAATAACCTACCAGAATACTCGGCAGTTGCTTATTCATACCTTGATGCAGAACACTGCACCATCAAAGGAAATGGACCATATCCATTAGAAAATGTAAATCAAACCGGATGTGTCAAAACATCATTTTACACCTCATCGGAATCAGAATTTATAGATGGGTGGGTCCATAAAACACGTATATACAT